TCTCCAAAACTCTCTTAGAGTCAACTGAGTTTCTGTGGTCACTACAAAGCACCTTTCAAACATTGAAGTCTGCAATGACCTGCTGGTCCATGGGCTGCAGGAGAGGAGTGGTATTAGGAGGCAAAAACTTGACCTTGATGAAGCTCATGTCCCCAGAAAGTCGCTCTGCCATGTCTGAAGGATGACCAGGAGCATTGTCTAATACCAGGAGGCACTTAAGGTCCAATTTATTTTCCAGGAGGTAATTTTTCACAGTGGGGGCAAATGCATGGTGTAACCAGTCATAGAAAAGGTCTCTAGTGACCCATGCCTGTCTTTCATAGGTTTATGTCCTGGAAGTGCCTTTTCCTCCTGAGTAATGTACATCCTGTTTGGCATTTTCTTCCAAAACAGGCCTGTTTCGTCACAATTAAACACTTGTTCAGGTTTCAGACCTTCACTGTCTATGTACTCCTTGAATTCAGGCACATATTTTTCAGCCGCTTTTTGGTCCAAACTGGCAGCCTCACCATGCCTTATCACACTATGTATGCCACTACGATTCTTAAATCTCTCAAACCAACCTTTGCTGGCCTTAAATTCACTCACATCACCACTAGTTACAGGCATTTTTCTAATTAAATCCTCATGCAGCTTCCTAGCCTTTTCACATATGATCGCTTGAGAGATGCTATCTCCTGCTATCTGTTTTTCGTTTATCCACACTAATAACAGTCTCTCAACATCTTCGAGTACTTGCGATCTCTTATTCGAAAACGAAGTTGCACGTTTTGCAAGAACAGCTTCCTTGATTGTCGTTTTCTTGGCCACAATAGTAGCGATGGTTGATTAGGGTTTCGTATACAACCTGGCCAGCTCGGAGACACGCACTCCACTTTCGTACTTAGCAATTATCTCTCTCTTCATATCCATAGTAATTCTCACCTTTTTTCCTGTAGGGTTGGCACTAGAAGCTTTCTTGGGGCCCATGGTGACTTATTTTGTAGGTACAATCACTAAAAATGCTGTGATAAAATGAAATGTTCCGATTGTATGCTTCGATGCGACCGCTGTGGCTGGCTTGTAAACACTGGCACCCATGGGACAGGTGAGGCGCACTCAGGCCACACATGGACACGTCTCGAACAAATCGTGTTGGGTGAGTTTTTTAGCGCTAGCTGAGGCAAAATTTTTGCGTTAAAATATATCGCTAGCCGGATTATAACGTTAGGTGATGCCATCATTACCTGAGGGTCCACTGTACTCAATAATAATCACCAAGTCTCATTAAATGTCATATATTACGTTAATATACACATTTTCATTAATCCATCTATGAAATTTTTTCAAAATTATATAATAAGCACGAAACGTAACATATAAACATGACAAATACACCCCACAGTAGAATAAATTAACAAATATGAGATGTGGTAGCCAGACAACTTGTACGAGTCACAGCAAGAATAACATTTTCTCTAGTCGAACATCAGAGAAAATGTGTACACGTATTACTGGAGTTAACTGTAGAAAATTATTTCTTTCATATACTATCACTCAGAGCATCATTTCTTCTAAAAATAGTGTTAAATGAGACTGGGAGTGTTGCTCTTTATTTATTCTACTGTATCAATGTGGAGACAATTTACTTGTACACAAACCAGATGCAGTCACCTGGTTTGTTTAAAAAACTCGTATCCACCTGGTTTGTTTACATAACTCCTCGCCTGTCCTCTCACATTCACTCACTCACTCACACACACACACACACCCCCTCTCTCTCACACACACACTCACACTCTCACACACTCTCTCTCTCTCTCTCTCTCACACTCTCTCTCTCTCTTTTTTTTTTTTTTTTTTACACAGGGTTTGACAAGGTTAAGGATCCCTAACTTTATTGACAAGCTATTTACAGGTTAAGGATTCCTAACTTTATTGGCAAGCTAAGAGCTGTTACCTACATCAGCTCATTTGAAAGCATTTTTATTGTTATGAGACATACAAGTAGGGAACAGGATGAAGATGGAGCCATCTGTGGGCTAGCATTTTCATTTGATCAACTGACTATCTCGTTGACATCATTATGCTGTACGAATGTGTTCCATATTCGAGTCATCCTGGGTATGTATGATCTCAGATGGAGTGATGTTCTGGAGAAGGGTACAGCCAGAGTGAAGTTGCTGCTTTCTGCCCGTCTTGTGGCATAAAAGCTTGTTTCACGCTGTCCTCGAAGTGGATCCAAGTGTGGTATTTTGACAATATTGGCCTTGTACATAACAGTAAGGCCACCCACATCCCTCCTAGGTTGAAGGCTCTGCTGAAATGACAGATCTATCCAGGATGGGTCCAGGCGAGAGATGAGACGTCTTGCTCTGTTCTCTACTCTGTCAAGCAGTTGCAGATGAGAGGGGGGACAGGCAAACCAAGAAAGTGGAGCATACTCAAGGTGTGAGCGTACTTGTGCCTCGTACAGGATCTTGCAACTCCTACTGTCAAGCAGATGCGAGATACGGCGAAGTGCTGTAAGCTTCCTGGCTGCCTTGCTTGCAAGATTTACAACATGGTTCTTCATGGTTAGTTTGGAGTCAAATTTCACCCCAAGGATATCAACTTCTCCAGGTGCCAACACCCTCCCATTCATCCTTACTACTGCACCAGCATTACCATCATGGTGCCTCCTCTCTCTCTCTCTCTCTCCTCTCCTCTCTCTCTCCTCTCCTCTCTCTCTCTCTCTCTCTCTCTCACTCCTCTCTCTCTCATTGATTTATTTTATTTCATTTACTCACCTCTGACACTACATTAAGACTACAAATATTTTAAGGCAAGTAATGAATGAACTGTATATGCATTTCATCGCTCTGGGACACTTTAAATGTCATAGAATATTATGTGTGGGTGGGGTGGCCTGGTATGGTAGGTATGGTAGCCTGGCTGGCAACTATACATTCCACACTTGATTTCTTACAATAAATACTGTACCACTCATCTCACCCTAGATTAAGACTACAAATATTTTACGGTAAGTAATGAGTGTACTACACCTACCGTCCGACTTACAACCTGCTCGACATACGACCATACGACTTACGGCCGTGTTTTCTATGCCATATTTCTGGGAAATATACAACTGTTTGTGTTGTACACAGTGTTTATCCTAAACCTTACAGTATAAAATACAGTACTAACAGCATAAAAAGTAAAGTATAAAATGAAATACAAAAATAAAACAATAAAATAAAGTCATTACAAAAATTTGATGTTGATATTCAGTAGTAAGGTTCGACTTATCTCCATTTCAACTTACGACCGGTTTGTCGGAACCGAACTCAGTCGTAAGTCGGATGGTACCTGTATACAGGTCTCCCTCAACATTCATGTTTTTCACTTTCGCAGGCTTCGAACATTCGCGAATTCCCAGCCACCCAATCATATTTAAAATATGTCATTACATATGTTAGGAACTGTGGCAGTGGCAGAGTTTGTTTGGAGATAGGACAAGATAGTCCTTCAATATGACAGCAATATCAACTGTACAGCTTATTTATCTATCACAATTCATCTAACATGACATAATAAACAATATTAATAACACAGAAACATGACATATATTCTAGAATGAAAAAAAATATTATTAAGTGTGTAATGAGTGTTGTTGCATTGTTGTTGTTGTTGGGTGTATAAGGGCCACTGAGAGCATAAGCCATAAATAGCGGTGGTGGAGGGAGGCAGCAGCAGAGGTGGTAGAGACAGTGGTGTTGTCAGTCGCCCTATATAACTCCAACAACATTGGAGGAGTTAGATTTGTGCTGTCCTTTTTCTATTGATTAATCACTTAACTTACTTGCTACACTGTTAATGCTACACTTTATCGCTGGCTGGTGCTATAGCCTTTATCGACTAGTGCTGCTTTAGTAACGTACATATCGAAGAATCACTGAATCACTGAAGAAGGCACATTCTCCCCTCTCTCTTCCTCCTCCACTTTGGTACTCTGCTACAAGTTCTTTCTTGTATTCTATAGTCTTTCTCACCTTCTTTACCAAAGGGCTGGCACTAGTACAATATTTTACAATGTTTTCATGTGTTTTATGATTGTTTATGGTTCAACAGGTTAAGGAAGCAGTATTGTATTATATATTTCCCTACAATATATTGGGGCACCAATAATTCGCAATTTTTCAACATTCGTTTGGCTCTTGATCCCCTAACCCTCGCAAATGTTGAGGGATACCTGTATGTGTATTTTCCATTTTTATTGTTTTTAATGCCTAGTTCTATTTCTAACTTAATGTATGTTAGTGTAAACTTGTTATCTAGTATTTACAGTATATGCATTTATAAGTAGAGAAAAAGGGTGTTCCACTTTACGGCGATTTCCGCTTTATGGCAGTAGCCTGGAACCTAACCTGCCGTATAAGTGGGGCCCTACTGTATACGCATTTTATCACTCTGGGGCACTTTAAATTTAAGTCATATATTTGGTGTAGGTTTGGTAGGTGGCAAGCTACTACATCAGACTTTCAACAATAAATACTACTCACCTCTCACCTTACATTAAGACTACAAATATTTTAAAGTAAGAAATGAGTGTACCGTGTGTGTATTTTACTTTTTATTATTTTTAATTCCTAGTTTTATTGCTAACTTAATATATGTTAGTGTAAACTTGTTATCTGGCATTAATATGCATTTTAAAGTGAAAAAAAATGGCTTTCCACTTTATGGCAGCAGCCTGGAATCTAACCTGCCATATAAGTGGGTCCCTACTGTAATCCATAGGCCTACAAAGCTATCACAGCCAAACTTATCTGGTACCTTTTTGCTGGTAGTTTACTATACAGTAGTTGTGATTGATTCATGATACCTTGGCCCTAAGAAGGATGCATATAGTGTACCAGTGGTGACTGACACAAAATATCCTGGCCCTAAGAATGATGCATACAGTGTACCAGTTGACTGACTGGCTCATGTATCTTGACTAAACAATGGCAGAAACTTTCTTCACTAAGTGCACTTACCTTGTACTCTGATGTTCTTCCAGAGATCTCAAGAAACTCATTTATAAGGTCATCACAGCTGAGGTCTGAAGCAGGCAGCCAAGTGTCATCTTTCTCTCCATAACCAAGCCAACGAACACGAAATTTAACTGGGCATTTCCAGCGTCTTTTGCATTCCATGTCAACTATTTGTTCAACCTAGAGGTAAAATTTAGCCTTATTTAGAAAAAAAGAAAAAAAAAAAAAGGGAAAGAAATTTTAAGTTATGCCATCAGTTTTCTTTCATTAAAAACTCTGCTAGGAAAAAAAATGATGACAGATGCTGTACCTATGCCTTACACTACTTAAAAGAAACTCCTAATAAATACACTGAAACTAGTTTCGTATAAGTATGGAAATAAGTTTCTGAAAGGATTTGTAGAAGCTTACTGAAAAAAACAAAGAAGGGTCTTGTTCCAAAGTTCAACCTGCCAAGTTGCATTTTTAGTACAATATCACTGGATAAACCACAAGGATTGCAGAGCCAAATTGTTTAGAGAATGAAAAACACTTTGTGTGTCTGGTCCTGATGATCCATAAAAACACAATCATCACAACAACACAACTTCACTCAACTCACCTCCATACATGCCAGTAAGGGCTATGCACTCACAGTTAATGATTTTCCTGGTCTCAGGAAGGAAGACCAAGCATATCTCGTAGATACCTGGAGCACATGGAACACAGCTAATGCCATGGCTAAAAGGCAGGCTCTCCTTAGGAGCCCATCCTTTTACCCATAGACATGGCACTGTTATAAAAACAAACAAATGAGTGGCTGTTTGTGGAGCCTTGAACATTTGAAATATGACATTGTTATACAAGCCATGAGCAGTGGCTGCCTGTTTTCTATTCAGGTAGCAAACTATTTTATCATCTTTTATCTTGTATTACAGTTTTTCAGTTGTAATCTTACTTAACTTAACCCAATCTAACTTAGAAATGGGCTGCAAACCCTATGTGAAAGTGTGACATAGTTCTTAGGAGGATGAGTTGTCCTTAGAGATGTACATAGAGAAGTCAATTTGAGATGGGAACATGGTAGAAGACTTGATTTTGTTAAAAACTATCACATTTGCATATTATCTTGTTTTTGAATGTCATTCTTTGCATTTTTTTTATTAACACATACAGACCATTTCCCACTGAGGCAGGGTGATCCACAAAAAACTTTGGAGCAACTTGCATTGTAAACAGACTAACTCATGTTGTTGTAGCCAGGATTAGGCTTGGTTACAAGCACTTCTGGCAGTTTGGCAGACATACACATGATGATCAAACCAAATACAAAGTATATGGCCAGCCCTATAGTCACTATCTTGAACACTTTGTACTTAATTGTCCACTCACTGCAGAATACAGAGATAGACAGCATAATGACCTATATGATGTGTCAAAAATATCTTATTAATAAAAATAGATATGTACCAGACATATTAAGCAAATTTTCTAAAGTTGCTTGCACCAGATAAGCGAAATGTAGATAAAAATCCAGATGTATTCCTGTAAACCTTTTATGGGCCTAGTTTCAAGGTTTTTGGTGTATCCATATTGTGGCGGCCTCCTGCCAAACTAGCAGTTAGATTGTTAACCTGCCGGCCTGCAGTACCACGGGTTCGTCATCAAACCCAATGTGGGGACTGCTGAGCCGGCCTCAGAAGCAGTATTCACCAGACCACCTTACGGTATATATCTACTGGCAGTAGAGAGTATTCACCTGACCATCTTATGGTGTATATCTACTGGCCTTAGAAGGAGTGTGTCTACAACAGCTCACTGAGTCTGACGGCCTCAGTTACCTGACGGCCTCATTCAGTGTACTCACAACATAGTGTGTTCTGCACTACTCACTGAGAGTAAAGACCTCATACATAGCGAGTTTAGCACGGCTTCACAGCTTGAGTTTGCTGGTAACGTCTCCGGCTGACAACAAAAGTTTCCTGCTGGGAACATGGACTTAGTTTCCTGATGGCAGCGACTGGACTTAGTTGGCTGGCCCCACGAAGGTGTTAGTGTCGGACACTGCAGGGTGTCATGTGGACACGGCGTGTTATAACGCGGAGATAAGGGTGTCATGTAGACACGGTAGCGAAAGTGTGTAGATTTACACGGAGATAAAGGTGTCTTATGGACGCGATAGCGAAAGTGTGTAGATTTACACGGAGACAAGGGTGTCATGTGGACATGGTAGCAAAGGTGTGTAGATTTACACGGAGCCAAGGGTGTCATGTGGACACAGTTGAGATGGTGTGTTATAGCGCTGAGAAAGGAGTCGTGTAACACTGTTACAAAGGTGTCGTGTGTCATAGTTGACACGGGTGTTTGTGATATTGTAGTCAATTATGTGTCAGTTGTGACACGGGTGATATTGTAGTAATGTGATGTCGGTAACAGATAGTTGTGTTTGTGATATGGTGCTTTGTAATGTGATAATTCTAGTCGTGTATCTGATATTGTAATGTGATAATGAAACCAAAGAATACACTTTTATATTGTCTTTTATAATGCTCTTATTTTATAATTTACCTGTAAAGATTAAAAATATTATGTGTATTTTTGTACTCCCAGACAAATATTCTTATTACAGTTTGGATGAGCTAAGAATAATATGGTAATTAACAGGCTAGTTGAAGCTTTAATCATCCAGATTGTAATACATATGCTTTTGTGACATTTTTCTTAACAAATTACTTAGACTATACAACAAACATTGTCCTATAAAAACGAAACAGATCACGAATAAACGGCTCGGTTGCCCATGGCTAACCAGCAGCATTCTGAAATCCATTGATAAAAAACACCAATATGAAAAGCAATAACGACAGGGCTTAATACACAAAGATATTATCAAACACTATTCATCAGTTCTCACCAAAGTAATAAAGAAAGCCAAACAACTGTACTACTCCAGCAGATTCACTGACACAAGAGGAGATATAAAAAAAGACCTGGAAAACACTCTCTCAGATTCTGGGCACCCACAAACTGAAAAAAAAAAAAAAAAGAATATTGTCCAAACTAAACCTAATGAAACACCACTGCATCCCACTGAAACAGCTAACAAGATAAACCATAGGATCTAATCTTGCCAGTAAAATCCCACGTACCAACACCCATGCTGGGGACTATCTAGATGGGAATTTCCCAAATTCCTTCTATCTTGTACCAACTGAGCCCACCGAAGTCACTGAGATTATAAAGTCACTTAAAAATAACTCAGGGAACTTGTCTCATGTCCCACCATTATTGTACAAGCGAGCGGCCCATGTCCTCTCGCATGCTATTACATTACTTTTTAACGGCCCATGTCCTCTCGCATGCTATTACATTACTTTTTAACAAGTCACTAGAAACTAGCACTTTCCCGAAACTACTCAAGACAGCAAGAGTTACACCAATACATAAAGGTGGTGACCCTACAGATGTAAACAACTATAGGCCAATATCAAACTTACCATTGCTATCCAAAATCTTCGAGAAACTCGTGCACAGGAGACTGTATTCATTTATAACAGCACAAAACATACTCAACCCCTGCCAATTTGGTTTCCGGAAAAATAAAAGCACTAATGATGCAATTGTAAAAATGCTAGATCTGCTTTACACAGCATTGAAAAATAAGGAATATCCACTAGGAATTTTTACTGACCTAAGAAAAGCTTTTTTTGACACAGTAGACCATGGCATCCTACTCCACAAACTTGACCATTATGGTATAGGAGGCCATGCGCTTGCATATTTCAAATCCTACCTTACTAATAGATATCAGTATGTCACCATTAAAGACACAGCATCATCAACACGGCCACTTGATACTGGAGTTCCAAAGGGAAGTATCCTTGGACCCCTGCTCTTCCTCATTTACATCAATGATCTTCCAAATGTATCCCAACACCTGAAACCCATTCTCTTTGCTGATGACACAACTTATGTCATCTCTCACCCTAATCTTGCCACCCTCAACACCATTGTTAATGAGGAGCTGCTCAAAATATCAACTTGGATGACAGCCAATAAACTTACATTTAACACAGACAAAACCTACTATATTATGTTTGGTAGCAGAGCAGGTGCTGCACAACTAAACATTAAGATTGACAGCACTCTAATTGCCAGACATAATGAGGGCAAATTCCTAGGCCTATACCTCGACAACAACCTGAATTTCAGCACCCATATCCAACACATATCAAAAAAAGTATCCAAAACAGTTGGGATCCTCTCCAAGATATGATACTATGTTCCACAAAATGCCTTTCTCACACTATACTATTCACTCATTTATCCATACCTCACCTATGCTATTTGTGCTTGGGGTTCAACTGCAGCAATACACCTAAAGCCAATAATAACTCAACAAAAAGCCGCAGTAAGAATAAACATTAAATCCCATCCCTGGCAACACCCCCCCCCCCCATTCTTCATAGATCTAAACTTACTCCCTGTTCAGAACATCCACACTTACTACTGTGTAATCTACATATACAGGACCTTAAATTCCAATATTAACCTTGACCTAAAATGCTTTCTTGATAGCTGTGACAGGACCCACAAGCATAACACCAGACACAAACATCTCTACAACATTCCCCGTGTCCGACTAAACCTTTACAAAAATTCAATGTATGTCAAAGGCCCTAAAATCTGGAACATCCTACCTGAAAACTCTAGAACTGCAGACACATTCATCACCTTCAAAACTACCGTTAGAAAACATCTTATCTCCCTGATACACCCCGTCAACTAACTACATAAAAACCACCTGGTGGTTCACACTTACACTCACTCAATCACCCATTTGACTATAAGCACAGAAATACGTATCTTAATCTTAAAATAATGATTCCTAACTAGTCACAAGTTTGCCTGTGATACTCCAATATAGAAACTATGTACGTGTACTGTTCCAAAGCAAAAGCATTCACATTGCTAAACTCACAAACTAGTATTTAGTCACTTAGTATTTAGTCAACTTACTCCACAATTTGTAATAATTTAGGGTTAAGAATTAATCTAAGTTTGCATGAAATGCCTAGCCTTGCTAGGTGTTCTAGTGGCCCCCTCTGTAATTAGTATTTTATTACATGTAAACCACACAATAACCAAAATCTGTAAACCCAGCATTGTAATCCTCATAGAGAATAAACTTGAATTTGATT